GGTTTCGGACGTGGACAATCAGCCTGGATAGGTTACGATGAGAAACTTGTTTTGCTGCTCACTGTTCTTTTCTGGCCTTTCGAGTGAGGTAGGATTTGGCATGTGGACGATGATGTAATATGTTACTCAGCCAGGCAAGTTGTCACAGGCTCATAGGTTTGGTTTTTGAAAAATGAAAAGCGGATACGTGAGAAAGTGGTCCATGTGGGAATAAGAATTACAATAAAAGTGGAAAACGCTGTCTGGCGCTGGTGTGCGTTTCTCTGAGTGCCGCGGAGATTCATCACCAAAGTGCTGGCCAGTACTGGGGAGGCGGGCGCACCGCTCCTGGGACTCATCAGCTGAATAGAATGATTAAGCAGCTGCATTGAATGATTCGTGACGTGCTGGTGTTGTGGAGGCAGAAGCTTGGTCTCGATTTCCATTAAATAAGTGTGTGGAATCAATACCTAACTGAATGTTTGTCATGGGAACACCCTGAGGCCCCTGTGTAGCTGGTATTTTTCAGACTAATTCTCAGACAGGAAAATGTGCAGCATGTCTCTTTTCTGAAATAGTTTCAACAACTTTTATGTAATGCTGATGCATCTGGAAGTGAAAATGCTAAGAGTTTCATTTCACTAAAAATGGATTTATTTTTTACTTTAACCTTTAACTTTAGATCATAATTAGTAGCATTTTCACCTTCGTCTTAAAAGCATCAAAGTGTATGTATTCGTTGACACGTTGAACCAGTCTTTAGTGAGAATGTTTATGTGCAAAGAACTGTGTAGGTTGTTATAAAAAAAAAATGCAGAGACCTGGTCAGTACTCTAAGGAGCTCAGAGTCTAGAGAGGGAAACAGATCATTGCACAGCAGGACGAAGACAATGTATGTGGGAGCGTATCACAGAGGAAATGACACCTGAGCATTTGAGCTGAATCTTAAAGGAAGAATTTCAGATATAGGAATCAGCACAAATAAAGAGGAATTTTGCCTTATATTCTTAAGGGCTCACCAGATTTTTTTCGCTGCAAGCACATGATGAGATTAATAGTAAATTCAGACCAAAATAATCTAAATAAATTAAGACTTTTTGGGCTAAATTTGTTCTACCTTTGCATCTTAATTACATTGCAGAGAACAATATATTTGCAATAAACTGGCCAATGGGTGTGGCCAATCAATAGAATTGTAATTCATTTTAAAAGTAGTATAACATTCTAGTGGTAAAACAATTAGAAGTTAAGAATTTGGCAATTTTATAGTATTTTCTTTCTGTAGCTCTAATACTTCTCAGAAAATGGTTAAGCTCCAATTAGAAATCTGACTTGCTTTGGGTTTTATCACTTATCAGAGAGGTAAAGATGAATTATTAATAGAAACCTCAAATGCAGTAATGATAGTACCTTATATTTCAGTAGCACACAGTATATGAAATACTTTTGTAGTCATTATTTAAATTTGGCCAGTATATTAAAAAAGGGCATCATACGACTGATAAGTTTCTTGGTAGAATAAGTTACTACCAGTTCATTCTGCTCAACTGTGCACTGGTAGCATTTGTAAACAATTCATTCTGACATTATTTAAAAAAAATATTGTTGCAGAATTGTTGCCTCTTT